CATACATACATACATACATACATACATACATACATACATACATACATACATACATACATACATACATACATACATACATACATACATACACACATAGATACACACATACACAAACATAACGGCCTAACATATTCTTAAAAACTATATTAAATTTGCACACACATTCAGTTATTACAGAGATACCATAACAAAGATGCAATAACAAAGATACTACAACATAGATACAACAACAATGATAGGTAACGATATAAATGCTTAACGCACATGCACAATAACATAGATTTGAAAACAAAGATACTATAAAAATGTTAGAGTTCTTTGTTTGAAATTTTCAAAATGTTGAAATAAAAATTTGCAATAAAAATTATCTATTTCCGGCAAATTAATGACGTCACATGGATAAATAAACAATACTTTTTTGAAGCTGCAATAAGCTCGCTATCAATTTTATCCATGTTAAATTGTCTAACATAGGATTAAGGAGCGTATTTGTGTGTGTGTGTGTGTGTGTGTGTGTGTGTGTGCGTGTCTTGTATAACGGTGTGGCTTTGTGTGTGCGTCTTAATGATTGCGTATGTGGTATGTGCATCTATACATGTGTCTGTGTGTGTGTCTGTGGGTGTATTTGTATGATTTTAATTACGTTATAAGTTTCTAGAATTCAAACATTCATCATTTGAGATTATATATGTGTGTGTGAGTCCATGTTTGTGTGTGTGTACATGTGCGTATGTGCGTGTGTAGGTGTGCATGTGTGTGCGTGTGTAGGTGTGCTTATGTTGTTTGCATGATGCTTATTTTGAGATTCACTCTCTACACCACTATAACTCACCATCAAAGTGAGTTATCCTTATCTGGGTGGCTGTTAAATCATTCTTTTCATGTTTTTCTTCAAGTTTATATTTTATTTCTGGAAGTTTTTGTGATAAAGTTGCGCTTCTTGTTGATGTTTATGCGTAGACAAAAGCAGATTTCTTGATTAGGAAAGTTCATTTTGAACGAATTGTTTCTACCTTTTGTTTTGTTTGTTTAATTATATCTTGGGTTGATAAAAATTAATTTTGTTTGTTTTTTTTTTTAGTTAAATAGATATTTCTTTGTTTTGGGGTTTTCATTAGAGTGTGTGTGGGATTGTGTTTTTTATCTTGTTTTTCCGTGTCTTTTGTGTGGTTCTGAAAGCTTTTCTTTTAGAAAGTAATCGTTTCATCTGCATCCTGTAATCATTAATGCTATCATTTGTTTGATCGTTTATTCGTTCTTTCTTTCGTTCAACCATTGGTTGGTTCGTTCGTTTGTTCGTTCGTTTGTTTGTTGGTTCGTTCAATCATTAGTTGGTTTGATTGTTTTATTGTTCGTCAGTTGGTTTGATTGTTTGTTCATTGATCATCTTTACATATAATCCACAAAATGAAATATTTCATCTGCTTATTTAGCAAAATTTCATTTCAAAACGAAAAATTTTTACAAAACAAAGATCGCCATTGTTGTGTGCTTAGCTAGCTGGCTAGGTAGGTAGGTAGGTAGGTAGGTAGGTAGGTAGGTAGGTAGGTAGGTAGGTAGGTAGGTAGGTAGGTAGGTAGGTAGGTAGGTAGGTAGGTAGGTAGGTAGGTAGGTAGGTAGGTAGGTAGGTAGGTAGGTAGGTAGGTAGGTAGGTAGGTAGGTAGGTAGGTAGGTAGGTAGGTAGGTAGGTAGGTAGGTAGGTAGGTAGGTAGGTAGGTAGGTAGGTAGGTAGGTAGGTAGGTAGGTAGGTAGGTTGCTCGTCATCAAAAAGAAGAAATGACGTTTGTAATAATTGTAGCATAGACTTCACTGTTCAAAAGGGTCTCCCGCTGTTTTGGACTGACGCATTCTTATAATGGTTTTTATAACTATCATTCATTCATTCATTTTTTCTTTCTTTCTTTCTTCTTTCGATCTTTTTCTTACACCTCTCTCTCTCTCTCTCTCTCTCTTTTTCTCTTTCTCTCTCTTCCTCTCTCTCTTTCTCTCTTGCATGTTTAGTGGTTGTTATCAGGTAAATAAATAACATATAACATTGTCTTCTAATTATCGCTCAATGATCTCAGGTTAAACATAGACATATTATTCTTGGCTGAGAAGAAACATGTTTGTCTTCATTGTATAATAATCATTTCTTATGTTTGATTTTTTCGAGAATATTTTTATATAGTAGCAAACGCACAAAGGCAAGACACAAAAGTAGCAGAAACACGTACGGGCAAGGCGCACGCACACGCACACACGAACACACACACACATGCATACATACACACACGCAAGTAATTCATGGCTTTATGTACAATGTACAGTACATACAATACATTTGATGTTGTGGTTATTTTTATCTATATCTTCATCTGATCTTGCAGTAGTAGTATTAAACGAATTTTTTTTTTATGAATGAAACTTATTTTCAATGAGACGTAGTAGTAGTAGTAGTAGTAGTAGTAGTAGTAATGGTAATAGTAGCAGTAGTTATAGTAGTAGTAGTAGTTGTTGT